TCTGTAGTGGTTCATTGAACCACAATACTGATAAGTGATTAATAAAAGTCAAAAGACCAAAGAGGTCACCTTAATAACAAAAAAAAAAATTTAATTTAATTATATCTAATAAATTAATATTTAAATACTAATTGCTTTTACTATAACTAATCCAATTGTTATGCATACTAATACACATGTATTAACTCATTTTTATTTAATCAAATTATTTAAACTTTTACTAAACAAATTATTTCTAATAACTTACTTAACCTAATATTTATGAAAAATATATAATCTAATTAACAAAATTTTTTATTATCTTGTTTTTAACTTTTTATATATATTGTCTAATATATTTTATTCCAATCTTATTTTCAAAAGATTTATTCTAAAATCTCTTATATCAACAATTCAAAACTTTAATATTTTTTACAAAACTGTTTTTCAAATTATTATCAATATTCTTCTCAAAATTAATAAGCAATCATATAAGCAATTATAAAAAACATATTGTATTTACTTTACTAATTAGAAAAATAACAAAATAGACTTTATATCCAATTTATTAACTAATCTTAACATTATCTAACTTAACTACTAAATATACATATTTCTAAAAAGATTATATTTACTAATGTCTTTACAGATTTTCTAATCAATTATATGCTTATTTTAATACATAGTCTTCTATTAACTAAGTAATTTATAAAATTAACATTTGATCTATTTTATAAATTAAATATAACATATTATCAAATTATATATTAAATATTCAAATCTAGATAAGCTATGACCACTCTAGTAGGTTTAGGTTACAGATAAATTAATTTAAATTTTTATTCTTATATATAATTTTCAATTTATTTGTTTTATACAAACAATAATAATTGTATAGTTAGCAGTTTAATAATTAATCCTAACTGTAAGTGTTGACTTTAGTTATAGCATATATATATGTAACTATTTTAAATTACTAATAAAGATATAAGCAAAACTCACCTTAATATCCCTTTCAAAAACAAAATTAAACTGTCTTTTTTATTAGTATTATGTCTTTTATTTTTGTTTTTGTTGTATGATTAGTTTAAGATAAAGGTACCTAAAAATAGTACAGGTAAATATATAAAAGTTAACCTGTTTGAAGATTTCATAACATCTTTTTTGTAGATTAGTTGTTTTTTAAATTCATTAGTAGTTGATAGAAGATTCCTGAAATGAAATTAAAATATTGTTTAAATTCATATTAAGATAAATATTTTTGTTGAAGATCTGAAAATATAATGCTTAAAATTTGAAATCTCAATTTAAAAATACAAACTCTACTAAAATCCACATATACTCTTTTATTATAAGCTTTATCCCTAAATTCTAATCTTATATTAAAATAATTCAAATTCTTAGCATCATTCAATTCCAAGCTTTCAACAATATAATTTTAAATTATATAAATTTGATAAATATTAAAAATGTTTATTAAAAACTAAAGTTCAAAGTCTTTTTTAACACAATGCATAAAAATCATTTCCCATTCAGTTTTCACAAAATTAATTGGATAGTGTACTAATATTTATATACAACAATTTACAACATAGAATTATATCAATGCAAACATTTATGAATAACAAACTGTTTAAATATTATTAAAGTTGTCATTAATGATAACGAATGTTGTGGGATATGTATAATTGTTATCACTATGTTTTACCAACGATTCCTTCCTTCTGTAATTTTTTAACATCAGCTTCGGCCAATCCTAATATATCGAATAGAATTTCTCGATTATGTTGTCCTAAATCCGGGCCAGCCCATTTTGTTTCACCAGGTGTAGAGGTTAGTTTTGGAGGAATTGCAGGAATCTGGGTGGCCGAGTTAAAATTAATATTTGATTTAATAGTATGTAATGCATAAGTTTTTTTTTAGTAGCATACCTTTAAATCCCATCCTTCCTTATCCGTATTAGCAACGTGAACTGTTTCAAGCAAATCACGCTCCTGAACATGCTCATCTTCAACAATGTCTTTAATATTATATATATAGCCACATGGTACCTCAGCCTTCTCTAATTTTTCTACCACTTCTTTGGATGTGCAAGTACGTGTCCAATCCGAAATTGCATTATCAATCATTTCTCCATGTTTTACACGTTCTTTATTGGTTTCATATTCTGCAGTGGTGAGATCTTCCCTTCCAACAACTTTCATTAGTCGCTTATATATTGCATCCCCGTTTCCACCAATGATCACATATTTAGAATCTGCACACGGATACACGTTTGTAGGTACGATGCCAGTCACAGAGGTACCCGAAGGTTGCCTTATCTATAGTAAAATTAAACCTTAATACGTAAAAGTATATAGTATAAACAAGGTATTTTCAAAAACGTACTTCTCCAAATCGATCATATTCTGGCAGAATGCCCTCCATCAAATTAAATATGCTTTCATAAATGGCTACATCAATCACCTGTCCAGTCTTAGTGTTTGAAGTAATTTTATTCCTAGCTAAAAGTCCTATGACAGTTCCAAATGCCGCAGTCAACCCAGCAACTGAATCACCCAAAGATATATTTTGGCGAACCGGTGGCATATCTGGAAAACCTGTTATATATCGAAATCCTGCCATCCCCTTAGTATTATGTTTAATATTGTTTCGAGAGAATTAATTACATATTATGAGATCGCGTAGATAAATTTAAATCTGTTTACCTCGCACACAGATGCGAAACCTGGTTTTGATGCATAAGGGCCTGTTTGTCCAAACCCAGAAACACGTGTGTATATTAACGAAGGATTTGTCTTGTAAAGTTCATCTTTATAATGATTAAAAAAGATTAGATTCAGAGTTTCGGATTATATTTATAGCAACTGTTTAAAGCTTACTAGGTCCAAGTCCCCACTTTTCCATCGTACCAGGACGAAAGTTCTCAATTAAAACATCACATTTGTCAGCCAATTGACGAACGAGTCTATTTATCATAACGTGCAAGAATTTTACCGAGAAACATTACTTATCAATATTGATCTGTTGATCGATTAAATACTGAACACTAGGTGAACTTTACTTTCTTCCCCCTTCTGTTCGCAGATTTATCTCACATGACTTTTTATTCCTTCCTATTGAGCGAAACCATGGACTAACACCATCAATATCTATTTTTCGCCAAACACGAATTGGATCGCCTGTTCCCGGTGGTTCAACTTTGATCTTGAATACAATAATAATCATTCAGCAATGATTATCTTTATTCAGGATTCATTATAAGTCAAATGTCATTATGTACGTACCACTTCCGCACCATAGTAACTGTTATGTATAAATTTATTATTAAATAATTATGTAATTGCCAATATAATTTAATTGTACTTACCCAAGGATTGTTCCACAAAACGGACCAGCAATCAGCTTTCATAATACAAATGAAATAAAATAAAACTTTACAATAAATTTTTACACAAGTAAAACATATATGAATTATCACACCTGTCCCAGTTCTAAAACACGAATACCATCCAATGGCCCTTTTATATCTGAAACTTGCGAATTCAAGCGTTTTTGAGGGACTAAAACCGACGATGTGTATTAGAAAAAAATGATTTTAATTGGGAAGAAATCGATACTTTGTTTTAAAAAACATTACATATAAAACTAGGCACATTTTTTTTTATGACCTTCTTGAAACGTATAAGTGAATTGGTATTGCGAAACATTTTTTAATCAAGAACAGATGGATACCATGGTACGTATATATAGTTTTTTTTTTACATTTCGAAAAATTCATGATTGGCTGCATCTGCATATTGTGTCGGTATTCTAAAACGATCCTGTTCATTTCACACTCATATTTTCGTTTTACCGACAATCAATTCACCGGCATGTTTGTTTTACCGACAATTATTTCATTGACAAGTTCATTTTACCAACAAAGTAATTCTGGACATTGTGTATCGTTAGGGTAAAGTTAGAATAGAGTTTAGTGTAATTTATTAAAAAAAAAAAACTTGATGAAATGAATTTGCTGTGAAATAAATGTCGGTGAAATAAACATGCCGGTGAATTGATTGTCGTGGAAAGACGCAGATCACTATACCATAAGGAATTCCCGGATTTCCGGAGTTTTCAAGACCCGCTCTAATCAGATCTTTAACGCTAATCGGGATCCCTACTTTCTCCCCACGGTTCGCTTCTAATTGGACAGTAGTAAAGATCATCTCTAATTGGACGGTGTCGACTACGCCACCTTTCGTCTACCAATAAAATTATAAGATCAGGTGTAACATAAAATTTTCAAAAATAAATCGAAGTTTAGTATACTATTTGTTATATTAGACCTTTATACTGTTTCAACGATATTTTCATTATTTGATCGAAAAGTAGGATTTTTTCTCGTCCAATAGGAACTGTGGGAGAAAATTAGTAAACCCATGCTAATCAATTCCTACATGCGATCGCATCCGGAAAATGTCGGAAAATGTGTACCAGGTTGGTGTGCCACATGCGCCACAGAAGTGAAAATGTGTGTTACATGGTACTTAGCAACAATAACGAAAATAAAAAAATTGCAAAATACAGCAAACAATTTTTTCGAATGATATTCATTAATTATAATTCGAATAAACTTTACTAATATATATAATAGATAGCATAATAATTTTAATGCTACAGAACTATATAAAATACTTATTCAGTTTATTTTTTAAAATATTATTTAATAAATTATGTGTTTTCTTTGCTGATGTTCTCTTCTTTCATGTTTTCATTTTAGATACTGTAAGTCAATATTTTTCTTAAATTTTTTTTTATTAAACTGACAAAGATTGAACTTTAATTTTGGTTTCATTTTGAACCATATCAGTTTGTAATAAAGAATTGTTTTGGAACAGAAAAGATATTAGTTTTTCTGTTGATAAAGACTTAAATTTTTTATAATCTTTCTTAAAGTTTTCAATACTTACAAGAAGCTGGTTATTATTTTTAGCATTATTAATAATTTATTGAAAAAAATTTTCAACCAATTCAATATGCATATTTATATCTTCTTTATTATTAATTTAAAATCTATTAGGATTATATATGTAATAAAAATCAACTATATAAATATACAAACCTAATTTCAAAGTCTTTAGATATATCTTCATTAAATTTATTCAATGACTCTAGAGTAGTATTTGTATTATTATTTGTCTTATTTATATTTGTTTCACTATTTTGTTCAATCATAATTATTGCAGATGCATGTAAAGATGTATAAAATTCTGGATTTTTAGTGATCGAACTTTTAAAAAAATAAAAAAAAGTCAAAAAATTAATAAATAAACTAATTACTTATTTTTTTTTAATAAAAAAGATTTATATATCACATGTAATATATTTATAAATTATGTAATCATTAAGAATAAGTACAAAAATATAATTAAAGGAACCTGCAAGATACTTGATCACAACTGCAGTCTAATGTTTGCATGAAGTTCTTCCAAATGCAGCAGAACAGATACATATTCTAATCAATACATCAATAAAATAAAATTTATCAGTAATAATTGTACTTGGTATAATATATAAATTATTTATATTATTATATTAAATTTTTTTCTAATTAATTGCTGTCTATTTAGAAAATAAAAATCAGTTTGATAATTTACAATACTTTAGATAATGATTAGCAATAGCTAATAAGCATCATTTATAAAAATAATCTATATTTTCTGTAATATAATAAAAGATCTATATGGCATTATATATTTTTGTTCAAGCAAAAATAATATTTTTTAAAATACTAAAACTTCATTTAACAAAATTATTAGTATGATTTCTATATAACATAAGATTTTGTCTATATGACAATGTCCAAGCAGTTCATTATTTTCAAAAATGTAAGCAATAAATAGCAAATTGATTATATTTTAAAAAATAATTTTTTTGTAGTTTTAAAAATACATTCTCTATTTCAAAAATATTAGATGCATATAAAATTGTTTTAAAAGATTGTATAATTAATATATGATTATCTTTAAGAATCTTGTATTTAAAATTGTGTAATCAACACTAAAGAGATTATAAAATATAAAATATGCATAATAGTTTAATAAAAGTTAATCAACAAAATCAAGTGCATTCTGCTTAGCATATGAATTATTAGTAATAAAAACCTTAGGACTAAGTTGGAACCATAATTATAAAATACATTAATTAGTAATACAGTCTTCAATAAATTAATTGCATTTTCAATAGTGACTTCTGCTTCATCTAATGCTAAAAAAATTCCTAATAGTAGTGCTTCAATAGTACAGTTTGTATAAAAAAGAAATATTGAAATATTAAATAGATCAAAAGATACTGATACATCAAAATAACAGATCTCTTTAGACTGATGAATATTTTTATGTATTTATTTTATTAGTTTTATTATGATACAAAGGATAAAAGAATTATTTTGCAAATAATTATAAATTTGAAGTGTTACACTTTCATTATCAGAATTGTTATAAAGAGTAACACATTCTTGTAATTATTCAAACATTTTTTGTTCATTTTGATATCTTAATTAATTAGTATAAAATTGACTAAAAAGATATTTTATAAAACCTTTGCTAAGTTTATTGATCTGTCAACCAATAAACTTGTCAGCTTATTATTATTGAAGACAAACAAATGCAATTTATTTTTATAAATATGCTAAGCAATAGCTGCAGAATGTTCTATTATGAATAAATTAATATAATGTTGTTAAGCTTTAATACTAACTGATCAAAATCTAAATGAAACAGCAGAATTAGAAACATGGTTGTGAGTAAATTTTAAATTTATTTCAAATAAAGCTAATTTTATAAAGTTAGACTTTTTTAATTAAATATTAAATGTTGCAGTACATTCAGTATTTCTATTACACATGCTATTAGAATTTTTAATTTTACATCTACTATTTTTCTATTTTACTAAATTACTGTAAATACAGTGTCTTAATTTTCTAAAGACAATTTTATTCTTTTAACTAGATAGGTATGTATTAATCACATCATAGTTTTAGTTATTTTCTGAAATGCATTGAAGCACTCTAAAGCACTTTTTGAGTATTGATATTTACAAATAAATCAACTATAAGTTGTCTAATTATTATATTTTTCACAGTAATAATAGAGTCTAATTCACTATAATTTTCAATTTAATATTTATAATTTGGTAAAAATATTCATTAAAGTGAAATAGGTAAATTTATAGTTTATTAAAACTCTAAATATTTTATTTATTACTATAAGTATAACTAACTAAATAATAATTTAAAATATTTTTACAATTATACTTATAATAAACTTTGGAAAATGAATATGTTGAACAATTTTAAGTTCTAAATTTTATACTTATATAAATATTAACTCTGCAAATAAAATACTTATTTGTTTATAATTTAATACAAATTTGTAAAGAATTTTGTATTTTTATAATTGCAATAAGAAAATTTTTTATTTTTAAAAAATAAAAAGATACTTTATTTAATTTATTTTTAACTAAATTGCATTATAGTATATCAATATTAATATTAATAATTATAAAATTTGAATCTTCAAATAATTAAAAGTTTTATCAAGCCACAATAGTGCACCAACATGATATACATTTTCTGGATACCATGTGATCTGAGAATTACATAATAGTAATTTGAAAATTAAATCTGAGTTGACTGATATATTCTATACTTAGTGATATAATAAATATTATATTAATAATTTATTATTCAAAACTTTAGTTATTATATATTGTATACTATAATATACTATATATATTTTTAGTTATTTATTAATTATTTTATAAATTAATTACTTAATATTTTATTTAAGTAACAAAAAGAAAAAAGCTGTAAATTATTTTATTTATTAAGTGAGATGATTTACAGGTTTTTAGTTTTCATCATTCATTTATTATAAAATGTTAAAATTAATAAAATTAAATTTACAATTATAAAATAGTCTTTTTTAATATTAAATTATTTACTAAAAATTTGAAATTTTTTTAAAATATTATAATTAAATTTAATTAAAATAAGTAGTTGTAATTATTCTTAGTTTAAATAATAAATTTAAACAAAAAACTACAGTCAGACCTTAATATAATTTCCAGATTGAGAAACAAAAAATTGATAATTATAAAAACTTATGACTATATAAAGGTCAAAATTTATATGTTTCATATAAGCTAGAAACAAAAAAAAAGTAACTATATCAAGGTTGTAACTATATCAAGAATGACTATAATGAGGTTTAACTGTAATTTTTTTTTAAATATTTTAAATAAATATAACAGAAATAGTAAAGAATTATAGTTTAAACTAGTTTTTAAGTTAGTTTAAATAATTCTAATTACAATTTTAAGACTAACTTAAATAATAAACTAAGGTTTTTTAATAGATTAAACAGTTTAAACAATTGTTTTTCAGATAATGTAATTATAGTTTAAGATAATAATAAAACTATAAAATATATTAAGGTAGTAGTTTACAGTTAAAAAAATAAATTTATAATAAAAATTAGTAAAGAATTACAATTATTTCTATATAATAATAGAATGTTAAAAGTTTTTTGTAATATAAAAAAATATTAATAACTTGCAATTTACTAAATCAATTTTAATATTTTTATTATGTATTATAGAAATTAATATTAGTTATATAATTTATTATTCAAATTTAAATATAAAATTTTTAATTATTAGTTAA